AAGCACAACCTAGCGTGAAATCGGCCTAAAGCACGAGAATCAATACATCAAACGGTGTAAGAACAGGGGTGAAAACATGTGTAAATTCACCTTGCCACTCCTGGTCATGATGGCATTGCAGTGCTCATTCGGGGTCTGCGGATGAGGGATGGTCTGCCCGGGTAGAGTACCAGGAGCCCTTTGAGCCACTGCCTGAGCCACGCTCCCCAGCTGGGTCTGGATATCCTGCAAGACAGCCTGTGTGTTCCTCTGACCAGCTTCAAGAGCCAAGAATTTACCCGAGGCCTTTTATGAACTGCTCAATAGTGTTGAATTTCTGAGCACTAGAACTGGCGAGAGAACCCACCAAGTCCCGCAGTTCAGCCATCTGATCATTCTGCACTGGGGCAGCAGGGCTGCACCTGGCTGCTGGAAAGGTCGCGGCTGTGATTGAGCAGCATGCCCCGGCATGGGCTGGTAGAGAGACTGTTGCTGCTGCTGGAATTGCCCCTGTCTGGGCTGATATGGTGGCCTCTGGAAACCCGGTGGTCCCTGGGGGACTGGTGGTCTGGAATTTGCCCCACCCCAGGAGAAGTTAGGATGCTGGCGCCACCCCTCATTGTAAGTGTTACTGTAGGGGTCATTGCGCCTGACGTTATTGATGAAGTTCACCTGCTCCTGGGGTGTGGTTGATTCCTTCATCGCCTGGCAGTCCTCTACGGTGTGATGGGAGCTCTCACACCACTGGCAGTGCATCGCCTGCGGCTGCCCTGTACCTGCAATCAAACCAGAACGATCGATAGCTGAAACCAGCTTCGATACCACCTGCACCAAATCAGATGACTGGGTGCCTACAGCATGCACACCTCGTCTTGGTGCTCGTCTCGATCTCCTGGCGGTGCCCCAATCGTACCCGTTCTCCGCCATCTCCTCAAAGAGTTGATTCAGTTGTGGCGGGTGTATCTCTCCTAAGCATCCCTGATGGTCTCATCCTCATCCTGAGCAAAATGTGTAATTTGCTTCTGCAGGTCAGCTGTCTTGGATGGAGGATGGTAGCGGGTGAGGAACTTGTCCGCCAGGTTGGCGAACGTGGTGATGGAGCCCGGAGGTCGAGTGTTTAGCCACTCCTTGGCTTGCCCCTCCAGAGTAAATGGGAAGTACCTCAGCTGGATGGCATCTGCTGGTACCCCATTGATCTTGATTCCATCGATGAGCTCGTGGAATCGCCTGAGATGTGATCGGGGGCACTCTCCCTCCTTATCACGGAACACCACTAAACGCGCAGCATGGTGATTACTGAGGTGCTCACCTCAAAATTGTTGGCTGGGACCTGAGGGTGCTGAATGGGTGACCTCATGTCCGCAGCTCTAGCGGTCCAATAGGATCCCATGGTCTGCTCATCTGGGTTGATCACATCATGGTTCTGTGGATCAGCCATCTCTCCTTCTTCTTCTTCTTCGATCTGCAGCTGTGATAGCGCCTCCTCCGCAGCCAGTCGCGCTTTTAGAGCCCGCTTGAAGTTCCTGCAGGTTCGTTCAAGCTCCTGGTCTAATGGTAGTAGATCTCCCGACTGGCTACGGGTCATGCACTACCTGCACACAATCAGCAGAAGCAACCCGTGAAGGCACACAGGTGGAAGAGAAAAATGCAATAAAGAAAAAGCTAGAGTAACAAATTCTCACGTTTCCCCAATAACCTAGAGGGTTCCCCGGCAACGGCGCCAAAAACTTGACACGCCAAAACACAACACCAAACTGCGACCAAGTGTAATCGCAGTCCAGGAATGCAGTAACAGGCAAGTTCTATTATCAACCCCGGGTCTAGATCTACTGCTTACTCCGTGATTGTTTATTATCTAGCCAACTAATTCGATTGATTGTTGTTTAAACTAAAAGCAGTAAGAAAGCAGGAAATTATTCGGTTTTCTCAAGCAGGTAAGAGTCACTCGGGAATGAGTCCCCCTAGCCCCTTAGTTAGGTTCAATTGTAATTTCCCTGGGTTGATTTACTGTTGATTAGACTGCGGAAGATCCGACAGTATCTTGGAATCTCTTAAGCTGACCAAGCCCTCTCAGTCTAACTACCCGGCAGACGACTTGTCTTCACCGGATAGAAAGCTGAAGCAATAAGCACAGAACTCCACTACTGGAATTGAATTCCAGTACAAAGTAGTAAACTGGCTAACTCTCGTATAACCAATCTCTTACTATCGAATGAAGAGGCTCTAACAACCTAATCAGATTCTATCTATCTCAGGTTGCAGCAGAAATCAAGAAAAGCTAATCAGACTTCAATCAATTCAATAAACATGCATCATTCGATTAAAACCAAACAGTATAATCATCCCAAGTCATTACAATCAAATCCCTAACACCAGGAACTAGGGTTCTTCATACCCAAGTGAGAGAAGGGTTCTACTCCATAGAGAGAGAGAAGAAAACAGTAATCGGAGTAGTCATACTCATAATGATGAGGAAAATCTGCTCCGGGATGATGATTTCCACTCCTATGACGATCTCCAAGCTCGATTTGACGAAACCCAGCTCCAAGATAGCTTCTAGGATGTGTTCTTCGTACTTTCTCTCTCTAGGGCTCTGTTTTTGCTCTGAAAATCCGATCCCCCCCCCCCTTTTTGGCTCGAAATTGGCTGAAAAACCAGATTTCCCGACTCACACGGGCAGGCCACACGGCTGTGTGGCTCACCCAGTTGCCCGTGTGAGTCAAAACGCAGCGGATCAATTATTTGCACTTCAGCCATCCCACGGCCAGGGTCGCATGGCCGTGTGAGATTTCCATCCTGCCCATGTTTGCTCTCGGAAAAAATCACACGGCCACAATTGTATGTTGCACGGCCGTGTGATGTCCCGGGCTGCCCGTGCGACTTCCTTGACACCTCGCCACGCGTCCGATCTTCGTCCAATCGACCCCAAACTCGTTCCCAAGCCTCCATTCACGTACTAGGACCTGAAATATCACAAACAAGCACAACCTAGCGTGAAATCGGCCTAAAACACGAGAATCAACACCTCAAACGGTGCAAGAACAGGGGTAAAAACATGTGTAATTAACGGTTTATCAGCCAACAACTGAATACTTTGCACCTCAGCTTCCTTCTATTTTACTTTTTCTCTGATATCATAGTACTCTTCTCTATTCAACTTCCTTAACAAGTTCTTCAGGTTCTTCAGTTTTTGGCAAACTCTTATCAAAAGATGCTGACTAGTTACTTTACTTCTCCAAGCCTCTTCCAACAATGAATCAAAACTAGGATAATGAGTCCAAAGCTTGAAGAACTTGAACAGCTTTGGGAGAGACTTTAAAGAGGCTGATGTATCCACAAACATAGGGCAGTGATCACAAACACCAGGAGATTGGAAATGCTCCTTAATCTTATCCATCCAATGAAAATTAATCAGGACACGATCAAGACGCTTAGCAATAGGGTTAGCTGTCTGCTTGTTTAACCAAGTGAACCAGGGACCAGTAGCCTGATGTTCTTCCAATTCATTGTCAACTATCCATTCATTAAAAATATCATTGCAGCATCAACTCTGGGAGAATTGAAGCCTCAGTAGGGATTCTGATAATATTGAAATCTCCAAGAACAATCCAAGGGGCATAAGAGACTTTGATCGTCCTGATGTCATTATATAGAGTCTTCCTACTACCCTCATCATTTGAAGCATAAACAATAGTGCCAAAGAAAGGCTGAAGCCCCCAATCATAAACTGAATGAATTGTTCTGAAGAATGAAGAACAGTGAGCTGCACATCCTTCTTCCACAACAACCAAATCTTCCCCAGGCCTTTCTGATTATGCTTCACCTTGTTCTTCCACTCTGGGAATCGCTTAGCTATCAACTCATCTGTCTCACTACTCTTGATTCTAGGCTCAAGTATGGCAACTATATCACTACTATATCTATTTACTTTTTCTTAGTAATGCTATATACTTACTATTACCCTTAAACCCTCTTGTGTTCCATACCAAAATAAAATTATTACACCATGTATGAATCTTACAATATTGATGTTATAAAGGCGTTTATGTTCACCATATGCATTATTAAAAAGACCTATTTATTTAGTAAATTACTAATTTATCAATTAAGTAATAACTCTTTTAAATTAATAAATTTTACTGTTCTAACATTATTAAGTTCTTAAGATTTTAATGTACCATTTTTCCTTTCTTCCTCCTGTAAACTTGGAATTACTATCCGAGAGTCGATAAAAAAATTCCCTCAATTATAGGGGTGTCTCCATGGATCCGCTGCCTAATTTCAATAATATGATACCATCGAATCGTGAGAAGTTATGAAAGTAAACTGTTTTGATCAATGGTTCTTTTTTAATTACAAAAATAATACGTCTGAAAAAGTCTAACATGATCCTATTGCTTCGGTTTTTAAAGGTTAGTTCAGGTAGAATTTTATAATCTTCACTAAAATATACTTCGATATGACTAGAAGCAGACACATCTTTATCTGGTCGAACTACTAAGACCCGTGAAGAGCTTGTACTTTTCTTTGCCGAGCTCCCTGCAATTAGCATTTTGTCTTTGATTGAGTGATAGTTAGCTAAGCGAGAAGCTGTGATGAAGAAAGCCCCGCCCAGTAGTGCCTCTACTCCATAAATCATAGTACGTCACAGACAACCCAACCACCTTTTTGTAGTTCTTTCAGTAGTCTAAATAAGATAAATCAAGTCTGATGTCTCCTGCTTCATGTATCTAGATAAGTGGAAGTCCATTTCCATACAATAAGACAACAAATTTTAAAACAGTTTATGTGCCTAAATTATGAAAATGCTTAGTGAATATCATGTGGTATAGATTTGTTTCTATTCTCAAGTGTTATATGAGAAATATATGATTAAAAAAAAAGGGTGAGAAATTCGAACATAGGACTTACAAATCAAAGACAGTAGTATTAGCACTTAACAAATCTCTTATTTTAAGCACAAATAATAATTGTACGTGCAAGCTTTTTTCCCAACAACTTAACTCCAAAGTCCAAACAGTACAAGATATCAACTCATATCCTTAATAAGTGATAATTTGGCTCCAAAATGGAAACCCTTGGTATGTTGAAGGTATCAATCCATTGGACTCATGCCAATGGTTTAATTGCATTCATACATTCTGATATCTTCAACGATCACAAATATCGGGAGAAGAACTGAGGAAGAAAAAGAAATAAATTGCCCTCATAGGATTAGAGAACAAGCTTTTATTCTTTATAACTCATGTTCTTGACCATACGCATCAGTTCACGAAGCTTGAACCGCAGCCGCCAAGCGGATCATACTCCTTTCCCCAACTGATGATGAGTGAGCGACTATTGGTCGCACCGCCTCGAACGCCGCGGCCGCCGTCAACGAATTCAGAGCCTCCGTCGGATGGAACCAGTCCCAGAAAACATACCTCGACCTGTCGGGACACGATGGTTGGTCAGGAACGCACTGTCCGCTTTCCGCCTCCACGGTGCAGCAAGGGGAATCCAACCCTCCAGCGCCTTGAGACCTGATTAATGGAAAAATCATCCATATTAGTTACGAAAATGTATATTAACAAACAAAAAAAAACGGAATTAGGTGGAAAAATAATTAAGGTTACCGGAGAGGGTTGTCGGATCTTTCCGTCGGACCGTCATTAACATGTCTGACCCGGACCCTATGTAAACGAACTGAGCACCCGGTAGAGTCGCTTGTAGCTGATCAATCGCCGATTTCAGCTGGACGTTGAAGAGCACCGCGGCGTCGTTTAGAGCCTCCGCGCAGCCAGAAGCCGACCCGTTAGTACCGTACCGACGGATCGCGAAAGGAACGCATCCAATCTGGCCCAATGCAAACACGCCGATTTTCCTCGCTCCGGCAACGTATAACCTCTGTGGCAATCCAAAAGCCCAATCAGGAAAAAAAAAGAAAAATAGTTAGGCCCAATATCAGAACGCGCTTGCGAAACATTGGGCTGGGCCCATACCTGGAGCTGCTCCTTGTATCGGTTGGCCAGAACGACGGCGAACTGCTCGACGGTGTAAATGCGGCTGGAGGGATAAAACTCGGGGCGGAAGTAATTGTTGAGGAAATCGTTGTTGCCGAGTCCGAGGGTGTATAAGCACTGGCCCAAGCGGGTGTAGGCGCCGCCGGCGCCGAGGAGAAGGGCGAGTCGGGAAACGGAGATTAGATGGTTGTCCAACTGCACGTCCAAGGGAATTCGCTGGCCCTGAATTTTTTGTTGTGGACAGAATTAGTAGTTAGTGGAAAGGTGAGGAGGTTTTAAGGGTTGTAGCAAATTTACCAGTTGCGCCCCAGTTTCGTCGAGGATCCCGGCGGAGCCCGACCCATAATTCAACCCCGACAGAGTGTCGATGATGGTGGCGGTTGCAAATGGGGGAATGTAGTTCTCAAAGCCCAAGTATTCGGCTGGAAACAACGGAACACTCATTAGCTATTGGCCCAAATATTAACCCAAGCCCAATCCTTTTAGGAGTGAAAATAATAGCCCAAACCCAGCCACTCCTTGGAACTTGGAACAATTTTGCGTTGACAAGTATAAAAGTTGGGGGAATGAGGGCAGCAGTAGGATGGAAATGAATTGGGTTGGGTCAGTTCCTCTATAGTCTATACCCATGTTTAATTCAGTATTAAAAAATTAGATAAAATATATATTGGTTTTAAAAAAGTAAATTCAGTCCAACCCAAATGATACCTACGTGTTTATGGTTACAGGAACCTACAAAATGATGTCGTTTTGCTTTTGAAATGCGGGTTGGATGGATAACGAATTTGATTTTGGCAAAACTCCAATACAACCCAACCAAATTCATCCATTTAAAAAATTGAGTAAAACTCGCAACCCAAAATCTATCAACAAATAAATTTTACCCAATTTAACTGCGTTAGATCGGATTGAATACCCTTAGAAGTAATGGGTTCAATTGGCATCCTACTGCCGTTACACTTTCATTAATAAAGGGAAGCAGCTCCACCGGCGAAAGGACGAAGTTTGTACGTACTCACCTGTTCTATTAGCTGCATGTTCGACCAATCACAATTTATCAAATTGATTTACGGCTCACCCCACATAACTTATTGTGATTTTTAACATTAAGTAGTTTGATCTCACTTTCATTATCCCTAATGATCGTGATTTGTTGCATTTGATTAGTTTGATATCACTTTCATACTCTAATGATTTGTAACAAGTAGCTTGATTTGACCTTACTGGCTACTATTGTTAATACAAGCGTCGGGATTATATCGATGATTGAGCAATCTATATGTCTTATACTGTCCGGAATAAAGATGGATAAATATATATATAAAATCTTCCTACATATTAGTTTCTCTGACATTATCTCATTTTTTTCATACGCGATAATAATGTAGTGGCCAGGAATTGTACACTTAATAAATTTACATGTGCTCCATAGTCGAAATTGCTCTTTGATATAAGTTTCATGAGCATATAAATAATAAACCACGATGTTATCAAAATAAAAAACAAACTACGATAATAAGAATTTAATTAGCATCCAAGACACTTGACCTCAATAGAACAAATGTGATTGGGTTAAAAGAACTGCTTTTTTATGGTTGATACATACAAGAACTTGTAGTTAGTTATAGGTAAGAAATCGTTTTTCATATCTATCATAAATATAATAAACCATTTGACCGCAAATGAGGCTTCCCAATGTTAGATTGTTAACATGATTTTTTAGTTATTTTGTTGTTTCATAATGGTTAGAGTTGCATTTTGCTTTAACTATATGAGGTACCGCGTAAAGAAATTAAAATTGTAGAATACAATGAGCTCATTCCATATGTTAATAAAAAAATTCAAAATTTGATTTGAAACAAAAAAAATACGAACCTACAAAAAAATAAAAATATTTTAATATCACCTCTTAGATAGATCTGACATCACTTAACAATACACATATACATAACAAAGGGTTATTACACCCTAGGCCCTAGCCAGACCCTTTTCAATAATATTTTTGATAATGGTGATTGCATTAAGAAAGCAAAACGAGTGTACAAGGTTCAGGGGATCTGAACCATGAAGAACAGAACATCAAAACCCAGAAAAACCAGCAAAAACTACAAGGAAAAGCAAAGGCGAAAGGAAAGGAAAGGGGGAAGAAGAACAACTCAAGAAACCGCCGAGTGGACGAGACACTCCCGCAAAAAGAACAAGACAGATTACAGGCGAGAAAGACAGTTATTCAAACAAATAGCAGCCAAGCATTTATCAATTTGCCTGAGCAGAGACCCAAGAGGTGACACTTTTAATGGCATGTCGAGCAATGATGGAGGCTTCAGCCTTATGATCTCTGAAAATACGCTGGTTCGTTGATTCCAAATAAGCCAGTAGGTGGCGTGGAGGATACCAGACGCAAGCCAACCCTTTTCACTAATATTACAAAATAAAAAGGTATACCTCGCACAAAAATCATTCAAAATATAATTTTATTTTAAGTGATATCGAATTCAACTAATATAGCCCCATATAATGTCAATTATATTGATACGTAAAAGCAGCTGCATTAGTTAGTTGTAATTCCTGATAATAATGTTATGTTAGGGAAAAGGATGGATGGTAGCAATTATTTTGGTCATTTGGTGACTACATGACAGAATGTCAGAACCCACACTTGTCTGACAAAAAGTAAGTTAGGATAGGAGTGGTAGGCCGCCGTACACGTACTACAAACAATAAAATAAAAGACTAAAGTATATGGAGTTATTATTATGAAGTGAGGAAAGGACGGACCGAAGAAATCGACGATGTTGCGGCCGTTGGTGAAGCGTCCGGTGGCGCGCGGCGGAAATCAACTCCGTACGGCGAGTAGTCGACTTTGGCAACGGTTTGGAGCCAGTTGTTGTTGCCATTATCGGCCAAGGAGTCTCCGAATATGAAATAGCACGGCACCGCTTTTTCCCCGGCAGCAAATGACGAGAATCCCGCTACTACCATCAACGCGGCGGCGACCCAAACAGGGTTTGAAGCCATATCGATTGTACAGACAAGGAAAAAGGATGTATGGTCGATCGAGAGGCTGGGGGTGAACAACGCAAGTACAAAAGAGTTTTGATTTTGGCCTGGGGGACCAAATAAGATGAGGGGAAACAAAGGCCGAGTGGATGTGGATGTGATTTTTAGTTTCGCTAGCTAGGTACGTAGGATATATATATAGCTGGCTTAAGGGGCCATTGGGGTTAATATTACAACATATTGAGTGTTAGGGAGAATGGATATCAAAATTTTGCGTTATTATTATGAGAGGTCATAATATGCATTCTCCAAAAAAATAAAAATGTCTAACTCATGAATTTTAAGTTAATTATTTTACGGGGAGTAGAAAGTGTTCCGGGAAAAATCGCTCGACGAAACACTATACTATCATATCATAAGCAAACACATATCGGTAGCAAACACATATCGGTAACTAGATGTAGAAGTGGGAAATTATTACACTAAAGGATTTAGAAAATATATTACCATATATATGTGTGTGTTAAAATGATATTATACCTGTATCATACGCCAGTCTGACCTATACCCCGTCATTTTAAACATGCGATTTACGTCAACATGATGTCAATCATCACTTATGATGTGATGAACAATAACGCACATGAACTTGCACAAAAACCATTAAACATTTACTTTAATTGGAAGGATTTAGAGTTTAGAACTCAAAATTGGAGGTCTAGGGCTTAGGGTAATCTGCTAATTAGTTGTTATCAAATGTTATATCATCATATTACACTAATTCTACAAATTAAAATTCAAAATCCGACACCTTAAGACTAGTTTTTGAGTTAAGTGCATTAAACGCACTCATTCACTCATTTTTGTGAGTGCACCGAAGTAGTCACCATATAACATATTTAAAGAAAAGATCTCATATATATATATATATATACACATCCATATTTAACTAAAATACAACATGTAAAATCATCACATTAAAATAAAATATTTATCTAATGGAATACTGGAGGCAATTGAGGTATAAGACTCTACTGAATGATTTTATCGCTTGTCTGGTTTGAAGTGCAGCCCAGAAAAGAGTCAAATCTTCTTAGGTAGGGTGCTAGAAGTGGGTCAGAAGATAATTGCAGCTTCAATATGGATTGGTTTCCTCTTGGTGTCTTTCTAGTTAGATACCTAGATGTGCCTCTAGTGGCTGGCAAACTCTCTAAAGCAGACTGCCAGAATCTAGTGATAAAATCACAGCTAGGATTCGGGGTTGGAATTAGAAATCATTGAGTTATGCAGGTCGTATTCTACTGGTCTCTTCAGTAATCTCCAGTGTTCTACAATATTGGATGAGTGTATTTCTTCTTCCTCAAGTGTTCTTCATGATATTAAGGTTATATGCAACAACTTTCTGTGGGTGTGGGTACCAACTCTGGATCTCGAGCCTTGGTTTCCTGGGAACATATAGTCTCACTGAAAGAGGAAGGTGGATTGGGAATCATGAATTTCAGGGTGGAACAGAGCCTGTGTTATCAGGCATCTTTGGGATATACTGGCAGGAAGTGGTTCCCTCTGGGTTGCTTGGATTACAAAGTATAGGCTCAGAACCAAAAAGATATGGGAGGTGTCCCCCACCTCTGTTGGTTCCTAGGTCTGGAACCGTATTCTGAATTCAAGGGAGGAAGCTCACCAGTTTATCACTGGTGTTGGCAGATCACTCAAATGGTTAGGTCAGTTCATGCCGAAATATTTAGTTAAAAGAGTGTGGTTTTCTATCCGTATCTCTCAACCTTTAGTCTCATGGTCTGAGCTAGTTTGGGGAAATTTTCTTATTTCTAAGCATAGCTTGATCTTGTGGCTAATTGTTTTAGATAGAATCCATACTCAAGACAAACTTGCAACATGGGGGAAAACAGAGGAGGTGACTTGTGTTCTCTACCCTGGAGGAATCGAGAGTCGAGATCATCATTTTGCCTCCTGCTTTTATACTATCTATGTCGTGCAACATTGTTTGATTGATTTTTCCCATATTGGCAATCGTCTCTTTGTTGTGCAGCACAACAGTGGAATGGTTCCAGTGCAAGGTTGAAGTTGGGCACGTTGCTTTGGAGCATGGTGCTGAGCTCAGCTGTTTGCGGAAGGAAAGATGTCGCTGATGCTATGGGGATGGTCGTTTGCAGCACCCTCCGCAATTAGTGGCACGGATCCGTTCAGAAGCAAAGCATTTTATTTCCAGTAGGGTAGAAATTTGTAATGTTTAACCTAGTTTCTCAGTTTAAGTAGAGAGTTTGATTGCTAATAGGTAGTCCAATTTGATGGTTGATTGTAAAAGTTACACTTGTATTTTTTAGAGGACCCTTAATTATAAGGGTCTTGGGGCGTAATGCAATTTTGATTAACCATAAAAAAGTACAATATTTAACACCAACGTCCAAAATTTTATACTTGAAACCAACAACAACAAAAACATCTAAAAATTCATATTTGAACCCAACAAATAACATCAATATTGAATTTTCAAAATCGAGAAAGAAATTTAATAAAAAAATTTAATAAAATTATCTAAAGTAACATCATATATCTTAAATGTCAAAAATCAATTATATCGGCCATCTCAAAAGTATTCTAGTCGATTTTTAATTAGCATTGTTAAAATATTATTGTACCGATCGGCATATGCCACCAACATGACAACGATTAAAAAATAAACATAAATGAAAACCTTCGCAACAATATTTGTTTTGCTTTCCTTTTTTAACCATTTCATTTTTGGGTGCTTTTTTAGTTTGAAAAGGGTATTGTATTGCATCAGTCCGTCGTGGTCACTTACCAAGAATTAAACAAGCACGTTTTTAGTTGTTGTTACCAATGATTCTACGTGGATTTGATATTTTTCAATGGTTTATGGTTATTATTAAATTCCAGGTGGTCACGGACAGACTGATTGGATTGGTCAGTACAGAAAGCACTGTGGATGTGTTTCACGAGCCACAAGTTGCAAGGTCGATGATTGTACCCGATCTCCATCGACCATTCATTTCCCCCCGATCACTAGCTTTCATCTTCGTCGTCTGTCGACAATTTGCTGGACCTTGAACTTTAATGGCTTTTGTTTTTCTTTTCTTCCAATGGTTCACATGTTTGTTACAGGTTTTTTAGTATGCAATAATGCATAACCAATCTTGTCCATTAATTTTGAGTGGGGTCATATTTAAAAGGTGAAATAAAAATAAATTTATTCTTTTGTTTCTTTTTTTTATCTAACCTAGATTTTAATTTTTTTCAAAGTAAAAACATGTTTATTATGACATGCAAAGTAATATTCATTCCAATATATTTCGAGTAAATTTATTTTGTACTATCCATTACCACTCCATTTTTGAAAAATACATGTTCAAGGGGCAATAAGTTCTCACTTTGAACATTTAGAAATCCAATTGGATGGCCGCAGTCTTGATAGAACCTCAACGAGCGTCGTTGGTGGCGGCCAGTCGTGGGTCACGTGATGGAGGAGATTCGATTGGCTTATATACTGTGAATCAGAGATGGTGAAGGGATCGTTGCACATGCCTAAATTGATAATCAACAAAGGAATGAAGAGGTGGGAGGATAGCCTAGTCGCCAGTTCTTAGCATCGCTTTCTTCACCGCAATTCTGGACAAACTGGATTTGGGGGTGCGAAGTGGAGGTAAAAGTATCTTGGCTTGATGATCATCTAGTTCTATTTCAATTTTCTATTGAATCTGTATATCGGTGAGTCGTCCTATACAAATTAAAACAAATGAGGTATTATTCGTTGAAAATTTATGAAATATTAAAATATCTTATTAACTATTCACATGGATATGCGCGATAGCTGTAATATGTGCGATGCTGTCATCATGATATTCCTATATGTTAATATATGATATGTTGTAGCTCTATTGCTCTAATATAGACGAGTTTTGTACAGAAACCTCTACTATGAGTAGTTACTCGAACTGATAGTTAGATTAGGAAATTGTTTAGTTATAAGCTTCATAAACATACATGTGTTTTGTGCATAAATGATTGATCTTTATATATGTATGAATGTGTTTAAATTGCTCTAAATTAGTTCATATTGACCATGGCATGACCTAGTGTCATTACCAAGACATGTAGCGATTTAACATAGATTGAAGCTAAGATTGTGAACAAAACAAAGTGCAGTGGACGTATGCAGGTGCAGTGGTAAAATGCAGATGTGCAGAGGCAAACGTCTAGCAGGAGGCCCAATCGATGAAGACCCAAATCGAATTATTCTTGGTTGGAATCTTCACTCAACTGTCACCAGCCCTCAGAAATTATTGGGATTGGATCAGATTTCTTGAAGTGAGCAAATGGATTTGGTGGCTCACCAATAGAGAAAATGATGCAAAAATTTATTACGAAGAAAGAGACTTAAGCTGGCAACAACCTTCTCTTGCAAATGGGATCTGCAAGTGCCTTGTTTTATGGATTAAATCTGCATAAAATGGATTAAAAATGGCTGCAACTAAGGAGCTAGGAGACACTTTTGGAGACAGATTTTGGAGAGAAAAATCAAAGCAGAGAGCTCACTTTGACACACTTTAGAGTTGAGCATTTTGAAGAAAGGAAGACTTTTGTAAGTTGGGGATTAACTTCAATACTTAGTTCTTTCTCTACTCCTTTGTTTAGGTAATTAATTATCACGTTGAACATTAGCATGTTTATGTACTTTCTTTTCATCATAAACTAATCCCCCAATTTCTGGAGGAAACTTATGAATTTCATTATCTAGCCTTGATGTTTTAATCATGACTTTTTTTTCCTCCATTTTCTATCGTGTGAAATTGTTTAACGCTTTGTGTTGATTGACCACCTTCACAATGATTTGTAGTTTTCTAGGTTAATAACGATAGTG